TATTAGTGAAAGGAATTAAGAACAGCAAAACAAGAATACAAATCATTATTTACTCTTACGTTCAAATTATTTCATTCACGTTAATTTAGCCGGTAAGTAGGAAAAAAATTTTTTTTTTATTAATGGAAGAATTAAGAACAGCGAAAGGTTCGAAAACATATATACTTAATTTGCATCCAAATCATTTTATTCACTTTAATTTCGCCTGAGTTAAAGAATATTTATTAGTGAAAGGAATTAAGAACAGCAAAACAAGAATACAAATCATTATTTACTCTTACGTTCAAATTATTTCATTCGTGTTAATTTAGCCGGTAAGTAGAAAAAAAATTTTATTAATAGAAGAATTAAGAACAGCGGAAAGTTTGAGAACGTATATACTTACTTATTTGTTTGCATTCAAATCACTACATTCGCATTAATTTTGCCGTGGGTGTAAAGAAGTTTATTATACCATACAAGGTCGATAATTTCTCCGGATCTGACAAGTCTTTTTTTTTCTTTTTTTTTTTTTTTTTGCTTCAAGTATTTTATTTTAATCGAATATATGAACAACGTCGCAAATTATTAAAGGAGCTACTTGGGGATGGCCGTCGGTTGTTCATTAATTAATTGCCACCAAAAAATCGAGTAGATCACTATACGGATTACGATAACCCTACGTAAAGCGTCTATGCCATCACAACAGCTCGTAAGGACAGTAATTAAATGTTTTATGTTACAATTTATTTTTTTATTTTTTATTACATGTTGGTGGTAGATTTTTTTTTTTTTTTGTTGTTTTTCATCACTTGCCGATGTTAGGTATCTTTCTATCACTTGGTAATAAGGTATATTAATCCTGGAGAAGGGATTAGTTATGCGCCTTTTTTTATTAAATCCCATTGTGAAAGAAGTGATTTTTTACTTTCCATTACTTGTAAGTGGAGTGATTTTGTACCTTTCATTACTTGTAGGTAGTAGGTTCTTTGTCTTTCATCACTTGTTGATGATGGCTTCCTTCTATCACTTGGTAGTAGGATCTGCTAATCTTGAAGAAGAGATTAGCTATGTGCCTTTTTATTAAAACCTTTGTGACAGAAGTGATTTTTACCTTCTATTACTTGTGGATGGTAGGTTTTTTTTTGTCTCTTATCACTTGTTGATAATAGGCTTCCTTCTTTTACTTGGTAGTAGGATCTACTAATCTTGAAAAAGGGATTAGTTATGTGCTTCTTTATTAAAAACCTTTGTAAAAGAAGTGATTTTTTCCTCCGTTACTTGTGGGTGGTAGGTTTTTTTGTCTCTTATCACTTGTTGATAATGGCTTCCTTCGATCACTTGGTAGTAAGGTATATTAATTCTAGAGATGGGATTAAATCCCATTGTGAAAGAAGTGATTTTTTACTTTTTGATTACTTGTAAGTGGAGTGATTTTGTACCTTCCATTACTTGTAGGTAGTAGGTTCTTTGTCTTTCATCACTTGTTGATAATGGCTTCCTTCTATTACTTGGTAGTAGGATCTGCTAATCTTGGAGAAGAGATTAGTTATGTGCCTTCTTTATTAAAAAACCTTTGTGAGAGAAGTGATTTTTACCTTCTATTACTTGTGGGTGGTAGGTTTTTTTGTCTCTTATCACTTGTTGATAATAGGCTTCCTTCTTTTACTTGGTAGTAGGATCTACTAATCTTGAAGAAGGGATTAGTTATGGGCCTTCTTTATTAAAAACCTTTGTAAAAGAAGTGATTTTTTCCTCCATTACTTGTGGTGGTAGTTTTTTTGTCTTTTATCACTTGTTGATGATGGCTTCCTTCTATCACTTGGTGTAGAATCTACTAATCTTGGAGAAGGGATTAGTTATGTGCCTTCTTTATTAAAAACCTTCGTGAGAGAAATGATTTTTTACCTTCCATTACTTTTAGGTGGTGGGCTTTTTTTTTTATCTTCTATTGCTTGGTGTTAGGTCTTTTTTTTTTTTGTCTTCTATTATTCTTCAATCCACGTCATAACAATGTCCAAGGCTAATTAATTGTCCTATTGCCATCTCTTTTAAAACAATTTCATTTTGATAATCGTATTCTTATAATTACACTTTATTTCAACCAACTATAGTTGTTAGACGAAAACTTTTTCGAATGATGACAAAAGATGAAACCCAAGCCCCAAAAGACAAAACCTCTGATGAAAGTCAAAATCCCAAAGACAAAACCTCTGACGAAAGTCAAACCCCCAAAAGACGTAACCTATGACGAAAGTCAAACACCCAAATTCTTCTGACGAAAGATGAAACATTAAACTTAAAATGACGAAACCTTACGTTCAAAAAGACAAAACTCTAGTGCTCCCGCTAAAAAAAAAAGAAGTTATTTTCATTAAATTAACATTCAGAGTATTCGAAATTACGTGTATGCCAGCAAAAATAAATCAATCTTTTTTTCTGGATGAAATATTTAATAACTTTCAGAATTACGAAGATTATAAAAATTTATTTTCATACCTACTTGTAAACCGTCAATGGTG